CAGCATTCGAGCATGTGATACTATATTCAAGCGCGATTCTTAATAACTTCGAATATTCATAATTGCAACCTGGCCTGTCGTGAGTAAAACTAATTACCACTAAAAAACTAATGCTCGTTGTACTTGCTTAGGGTGTTAGTCCGTTATCTTGGACCTAACGCACCAGCACTCCGAATTTTAGTCTTCACCGATGCCCACCATATCTGCTAGCTGCAGCTAAAGGCTGAATCGCGTGCTGCAGAACAACGAAATGTTTGTTTATGTTGATCGCCACACAACCCACCATAGGCCAGCCATACAAACTGCTCATGCATACGTGTTGTAGTTAACGACACTCAGGTACGTTGGCTTTGGCAATGAGTCTTTTGAACCACCCTCGCTTATCCACAACCTCCTCAATATATTGACCGCCCTCGCTGGCAGTAAAACGGACTGAAGTCGCAGCTCCTTGCTGCTCTGCAGTAATGAGCACGCACACATGTGCATGCTGAAAATGGCCTACCTGGACAAAAATGAGATATTTTACAAAATAAGTTCTAAGTGCATATTTAATCCGGATATATAGGTTCAGATATCTCTAGATTATTATGGTCATTTTTTAATTAAAAAAAAATCCCGTTTTCGATCTTCAAATTGCTGTAGGATTCGGTCAATTCTTTAGATAATAGCCAAATCATGTATATATATCATTTAAAAGTTAATTATAGAAATGATCTATTCAGATATGCACATAATGCAATTTGCTAGAATTTTCTACTTAATCCTGAGTTTTGACTGGAGCGCGGTAACTTGCATGATATAATTGGTCGTATGTCGCTGGTGCGTGCATACGTATTTACGCGATAAAGAATGTAATGGATTTTAATTGGTCATTAGATATCACATGGCACTGTTTCAACTTGTTGATCGTGTGGGTTGGTAGGCAAAATTTCTGGCGTTGTTTACTCTCTGTATTTGCGATTTAAGCGTTTGTAAGCCTCGTCTTCATTTGCATTGCGCGTTTTCATGTATGTAATTCAGATTATTGATATGAAAGTAACGGCCAGTAATTGAATGCCTAGTGATTCCCACAACGCAAATTTTCTTTTCTTCTTCGTTTAACTCGCACAAGAGGCCGCCACGGATTTAGACTATTATGCCAGTTTATGTAAAGCAGTAGAGCGCGCCCTTAGCCAGAAGGCCTCTATATATATATGGGCGGCTCTGGGCAGACCGCGAATAAGCATTTATATCAGCCAAAATACTACACAAAAGATTTAATGTAAAAATACTTAAAGGCGGTTCGGCACATACCACAAAATACAACGTACTTCATGCTAAATAATCACGGATTCAAGGTCCAGACTCCGTTTGAAACTGTTGTAGCAAGCTGCATAAACGTTTTCAAGCAAGTAGTGTGGATCAGCGTTTCATAACGTGATGAAGCGAACGACAGACTCGGTGAACCAAGCGGCTATTATAGTATATATATTCAGGAGTTAATAAAGACAAAGTGTTATTGTTCGTTTATTTAACTCGCTGGATAATACTATTATATATATATATTATCAGAAGTTAGAAGTAGTAAGAATTGTGTGTGTGTGTATGTGTGTGTGTGTGTGTGTGTGTGTGTGTGCCGCCCCCCCTGGGTGGTGGCGTGGGCGTGTGTGTGTGTCTGTGGTGCGCGCGCGGTGCGTGCGTGTGTGTGGTTCACCAGAGAGAATGGCCGTCAGAATAACCGACGGGACGAAGCCTTTTGCCCTTTCATACCTCCAATGCCTCAATGCATAATTATGGTAAGCACAAAAATCTAGTGCCGTAATATTATTATTTTTAAATGAGTAAGAATCTTTTCCAAGAAACACAAGCAAGCGCAACATTGGTTAACAATTAGCAGAAAGCTATACGAGAAAAACGGCGCTTCCTTCGTGAGGTGCGCAACGCGCCTTCCAGCATGAGTTTGAAAAAGAGTTCTGGCAGTCTGAGGTTACTGACTCCCCTGTTGAAACCGATATGATTCACGACTCGTGAGGCAGCGGCAACGGACGTACACGTGTTTTAGCGGCATAACGCCACGCCTCGAGCGCCACACACCACGTACGCGAGTGCGCGCGCGGATACATACACGCACACACACCAGGTCTCTGGTTACTAGGCGAGTGACTTTTTTGCGCTAACGCTTTTGTAATACCTTGTTCCTTTCTGCAGTTTTTTAAATCTTAAATCTTTCCTTTTCTATAGACATGTTAGGTATGGATGCCTTTTCTAGTGATTTGAACACAACCGCTGGCCCCGACAATGAAATCCTGCATATATACACTAGTATACCAGATATATTGTATATATATATTATATGTATTAATAAAGTATTATAATATTATACTGCGCTTCTGCCCGCGGGAGGCGCACGACGTGGCGGCCCTAGCGGCCGCCGCCGATCAATAATTGCCCATGTTGCTTCGATTCTGACGCGCGCGGCGTGCGTAAACGGCGCGAACGCGGGTCTCCGGGAGACTACGAGCTTGCGCAAAAGCGCACCGAATCTCTCGATATTCTGCTCCGCGGTTGCCTTTCAATTGATTTAGGATAGCACTGAACGGCTCAATCTATACAGGTGTCAGCAGCAAGCAAGCAGTAGCAGCGTCGTAGCAGCCAGGTCGCGGAGCCATCCTCTATATATAATATTAATATTTAATATAGACAAAGAAACAAGCATCAACGCTAAGAGCTACTCGCCCTCTTCACACGAGCGAACTCGAAGCCACACAGCGACGCGCAGCGTGAACCGCAGTCTAGAGTCGTACAGATAACACACACTTCTCCTCTCTCTATCTTATCTCCTCCATGCTCTCCTATACTGTGTCTATAGGCGGTTCAAGCGAGTCTTATATACTCCCGCAAGAAAACGTCTGATTAGAAAGCTAGGTGTTGGTCGACAAGATCTATCTGAGAAGCCGAGACACAACGATGAAGCTGCAGGGGAGTCTGTACGGCTAGTTGCTGTGCGCGTTGACCGCACACGCCAGGCAACGCGGTATCAGGTAAGTGACAAGCTGGGAGAGAGAGAGAGAAAGAGAGCGAGAGAGAGAGAGAGCGAGAGAGAGAAAGAGAGGAGAGAGAGAGAGGATAGGCAGAGAGGAGAGAGACGAGAGAGAGGAGAGAGAGAGAGAGAGCGAGAGACAGAAAGAAGAAGGAGAAATACAGAAATAGAGAACGAGCGAGAGGAGAGAGAGAGAGAAAGAGAGAGAGCGAGATAAAAGAGGGAGAGACACAGGAAGAGAGAGAGAGACGACAGAAAAAAGAGGAGGAAAGAGAAGAGAGAGAGAGAGAGAGAGAGAGAGAGAGAGAAAGAGAGAGAGAGAGCGAGCGAGAGAGAGAGCGAGAGAGAGAGAGCGAAAGAGACAGAGAGAGAGAGAGAGAGAGAGAGAGAGAGAGAGAGAGAAGAGAGAGAGGGAGAAGAGAGAGAGAGAGAGAGAGAGAGAATGGAGAGAGCGCGCGAAGCCGAGACGAGCGCGACTAGAGACACAGAGCGGAGAGAGGAGAGAGCAGAGGAGAGAGAGAGATAGAGAAAGAGAGAGCGCGAAAGAGAGAGAGAGAGAGAGAGAGCGAGAGAGAGAGAGAGAGAGAGAGAGAGAGAGAGAGAGAGAGAAAGAGAGAGAACGAGAAAAAGAGAATGCAGAAAAAGAGAGAAAGAGAGCGAGAGCTAGAGGCAGAAAAGAGAGAGAGAGAGAGAGAGAGAGAGAGAGAGAGAGAGAGAGAGAGAGTATGTGTGTGTGGGCCGAGTCGTTTTTACATGGTTGCTGCGAAATTGTATCGCTTGTTATAGTTAGTTCTAGTGTGACAAGCTTTTAATGACGAGGTTATAACGTATGTCTGCTTGCCATCTCACAAATACGCGCACGCATACAAGCCCGCATGCATATACACGCGAGCACAAACACGGATATAGACACACACGCACACTCACACACGCACATGCACGCACACTCACACACGCACATACACGCATGAACAAAATACACGCATGGACGCCCCCCCCCCCTAGACCCACCCACCACCACCACTACACACACGCGCGCGCACGGCAACACACGCCTATACCCACGCATGCAGACAGAGACATACGCACGCACCCAGTTCAGTTTCTAATTTTATTCGTATATGACAAAAGAATTCATCATAAAACGCAGCAGCGCGTTCAC